CTAAGTTTGGCTGATATGAGCTGAAAGGCCAAGGGTAGCTTTGCGTTGGCCTGATGCCCTGTAGCTGCTGCCTTTTAATAATAAATCAGGTCCTGGTTTCTCTTCCCTAACTGGTGCTGGGGGGTGTGATTTGGGGAGTTTTTTAGTATTACTGGAGGTCAGGATACAGGCAGTCCCTGCTGTCTAGCTCAGCGCTCACTATTTTCTTGCTGGCTCTCCCTGGGGGTCCCTGGGCTTCTTTTTTCGTAAGCTGGGAGCAAGTCATGTAGAAGAGGGACAAAGGTGGGGTAGGATTTCCAAAGGGAATGAGGTGCCCCACTCTTCCCCATTACATTCCATTTGGGATGGGTGCTTGACTCTTCTGCCCTCCTCTGGAAATCCCAGTTTAGCGGCTAGCTGTTGACCAGGGTGGGGGTGGCATCCATTGTCTCATTCTTATCTTCTTCCATTACCCATGCTGCCTGAGGAAGCCCTCATGCAACAATGAGGGTTATAAACTTTCCTTCTTAAGGACCCTAAACCAGCCAACCATAGAGGGTTACCAGAGCTAGCTTTCCCTGGGGAGCTTATCCCATAACTATGGGGTGTCTTGTGTGAAGCAGCCAGTATGCTGCAGAGAGGCTGGTTGTACCAGGATCTGGAAAGAACTTACTCCATAGCAAAATGCACCTGTATGCACCCTCCTAAGAGGCACCTGGGCTGAGACAGTCTAAGATGACCGGCTCTTATTCTGTTCTCTCCCTTCTTGCCCCCTGCCAACTGCTTTTAGGTTAGGAATGAGGGCAGGCCGCTGGGGAGGAGCACAGTACAACTTCTGTCTCTTTCTCCGCAGGTATTCAGGGATATCTGAAACCTGGCAGGGGAGAGGGGGCAGAAGGCATTGTGTGACAGTGGGAAAGAACAGCAGAAAGAGATGCTTTATGAGCAAGGGACTGTACTAGAACGAGGAAAATAATATTACCCCGGCAGCTGTCTCCCAATTCCCCAAGAGCTAATCTACCTAGAAACTTCCCACCTGGTTTCCTGCTCTAGCTTCAAAGAAACATGGGATGGAAGAGTTGGTAAAATGGAGGAGCATTGCATGGTACTGCAAATAAAGAATAATAATGGTGGCCATGGCTGTACACCGGGGGAAGTGCCCTGAGGCCAGTTTTGTTTGGAAAGTTGTGAGAAACCCTTAAAGTGACTTCATTGCTCAAGGTAAATAGCTGGCAACAAAATACTCCTATAAAACTAAGTGCTGGAGCTGGTTGGAAATAAGGATTTAAAGTTGCAAGTGCTTGATTATTTGTGTGTGTGTGTATGTGGGGGGTGGGAATTGGAATTGGACAATTTCAGTCAATATGTATATGTGTAACCAGGGTGGAGTGACTGGGGCAGTTGGACCTGGGTGGCTGTAGCAGAGCCTCATGCCCAGGGTTGTCTTTAAAATAGGATCCAGCTGGGAAGTCCTTATCTCCTAAGATGCACCATGGCAAAGGACTCCTGCAAAGCACTTCCATCCGCCTTCTAACAAGGAGAGTTAGGTCAACCAGTAAGTCCAGGCCACAGAAGGGAATGGATACATGAAGTATCTGTACTATAGCTGCTATAAGGCACTGCGGTACTGTATCCTAAGCAAATCCTTTCTCTTTTTCTTCCCCTTAATCCTGTGCTGGCTTCTGACTCAGCAGTGACTCTTGTCAGAGAGAAGAAAATTTTTCCACTAATATATGTTCCTTCAGATCATGGTCACAACAGCTGAAACCAATGTAGTGGAACAAAACGACCCATCTGATAGAGTTGGCTCTCCTGTTACTTGATTCGCTTTGGGCACTGGTCCTTATGTAGCTTGCTTGCTCCACTGGGTTGTTTCTAATCTCAGTTCAGCACATTGTAAAGTCCATTCATAGCACATTGTTAAAACGTACTATTTGAATGTTTTTGTGAGAATTTAAAAAAAATGAAAACCATGAACATTTCAAGCTTTCCAGGATACTTTTGACATCCAAACTGGGCCTATGAATAGCAATTCTGGCTCCCTGGATCTCTTTGTTTGTGCTAATGAAGCAGAAATGTTATTGTGATCTCTTTAATAAAGATGGGTCAGGTAAGCCAAGAGGTGGTGTACTTATTCATTGTATGCATTTAAAGTGCCACATGAGTCCTGCTTGGGGAAATTAATTTCCTGAAAACCAGTGGGGAGCTCTGTTTACCATTCCAAGTTAACCCTTTGAGTCATGAAGCCAAAGCAAATTTTAAAACTTTGCATTGCACCTTTGGTTCCCTGTGTAGATTTTCAGCCAGAGGCATCTGATTGTCCTGCTGTCCAAACACAGAGCTGTTTGCATGTCTCATCAGGTGTCTGTGAGGCAGGAAGAACATTAATAAGACCCTCAGGTGAAGAGAGGTGTGGGATGAGCTGGGCTTGCAGCTACTCTTGTTGTGTTAGCTCTTGAAATGTCTGACAAAGAAAGGTTAAGCCTACCAGGAGCTGTGAAAACTGCTGATTGGTGAGGTTGATACAGAAGCAGGCACTGAGTGGGAAGGGGAAAAGTAGAATAATGTTACCTAAAAGCCCTTCATCTTCCTCCTGCTATTTTGTCATGTCTGAAAGCCATTGCAGGCCTTTAAACCCATCGTGAAGGTTATGACTAGCACCCTCAACTTGCTATTCACTCTGTCCATTATGTGCATTGGGGGAAGAAAGAGGGCACCCCTCTCCTTTCCCTGTAACTTGTAACTGGGAAAAGATTATGCTTAAGAGAACATTCTGCCCTTTTCCCAAGAGGCTTGTATTGAATTTGTTGGGATGAGGAAACAGGGTTACAAGGCTTCTGAGTGCTCTGCATCCCCCGCTGTTTAATATCGTATGTAGAGAAGTGACTCATGGTAGGTGCTGTACAATGCTTATGAGCTCTGCTGGAGAAGAAATCTGTGTATGGCAAATGCATTCAATAACCATCATGAGCTTCATGAAGCACACTCACAGGTTTCCTTTATTAAGGCTGTATTTCCTCCACAGAGAGGGACTTACTGGACCAATGTTCTGGTTGGGTCAACACAAAATACCCCATAGAAACTGTAGTTTACTGTGGGGAGCTCCTCCTAAACCTGGAAAAAAGCAAGAAGGCACTTGATTGCAAGTGTAACAGGTGGGTGATGGAGGTTGGCACTGTGCACCAATTGGTTACTGGAGCTGATGTCTGAAGAAGAAATAGGAGTTGATAGGCAGAATCGGGATAGGCTATGAGAGCTCTTGAAGGTGAAGGCAAGCAGCTTATGCCTGGTGCAATAGAAAAAAAATGGAGTGATTGGAGGGATGCACAGACAGGGGTGATGTGGTAAGGGAAATAATCTTTGCAGCAGCATTTTGGAACAATGTATACAGGACAAGGCAGCATTTTTCCAGGCTAGAGAAAAGGAGTGATTATGTGAGATGGTGGGGGATTGACCTGTGTAGATGGATGGAAAAGGCCATATCTTAGAGATGTAATGCAGAAAAAAGTGGTTGGATTTAGACCTGACTTGGATCTAAGTACTGGTGGGAGAGCTAAGTCCCAAATGATGTCCAGTTGGTGGGCCAGTGTGATGATCAGGATGTGGTATCCACAGAGATCTTGAGAGGGTGGTTAAAAGTTCTGGATGAAGTCTCCTGGGTTCTAGTTCAGTGTGCTTCATTCCATAAGATGATCCATCCTCAATGTGTGAATGCTCTGATGCGGTATAGGAAATGCTAGGGTCCTTTTGGAGAAATATGCAATATACCATACAAGCTGTGCCCACTGGCATGAATATGATCCCTCTTTGTCCTTGGATATTAATTGTGGGGTCTCTCACCCCTTCCTTCTTTTAAATGGCTTTTTCCAGTGCTGATTAATCAAAAGGCCAGTATTTAGCATGTGGACATAGCTTTGTTTATATGCAAAATATAAAGCAGAGGCAGGT